TCTCTTCTCATGTCCTATTCGTTAAAAAGAAAGATGGGAGTTGGAGGTTTGTATTGACTATAGAGAACTAAATAACATGACCATAAAAGACAAATTTTCCATTCCTTTAGCGGATGATCTGATGGATGAATTGTGTGGGTCAAGCATATACTCTAAAGTTGATTTAAAGTCAGGGTACCATCAGATTAGAATGGGGGAAGGAGATATCTATAAAACAGCATTTAGGACCCACCTATGGCACTATGAGTTCAGGGTTATGCCTTTTGGCCTAACAAGTGCACCGACCACCTTTCAATCCTTAATGAATCATGTTTTTAAACCCTATTTGAGAAAGTTTGTCTTGGTATTCTTTGATGATATTTTGGTCAACAGTTCTTCCATTAATATTCATATTATCCATCTCAGAAAAGTATTAGAGATATTGAGAGAAAAACAACTCTGTGACAAGCTGTCAAAGTGTTCATTTGGGCAGCCTAAGGTGGACTACTTAGGCCATATCATATCTGGGAGGTATTGGCCATTGATCCTTCCAAAATTGAGGTTATGTCCACTTGGCCTGTTCCCAAATCAATTAAAGTCCTAAGGGGATTTTTGGGACTGACAGGTTACTATAGGAGATTTGTTAAATCCTATGGAGTCATTAGCGGTCCTCTAACCAACCTGCTTAAGAAGAATGCCTTCCAATGGAATTAGGAAGCTGAGTAGGCATTTTCTCAGCTCAAAGAAGCCATGATAACAACTCATGTGTTAGCTCTAACAGACTTTACTAAACCATTTATAATAGAGAGTGATGCTTGTGCTAAAGGGATGGGTGCAGTGTTGATGCAAGAAGGCAGACCCATTGCTTTTTTCAGCAAAGCACTAGCTTCTAGACACATGGGGTTGTCCACCTATGAAAAGGAATACATGGCTGTGTTGTCTGCTGTGGAAAGATGGAGACATTATCTACAAGGGAGCCATTTTATCATTAGTACTGATCACCATCGTTTAAAGTACCTATTGGAACAAAGGGTAACAATTGCATTACAACAGAAGGGGCTGACTAAACTGTTGGGTCTAGACTATGAGGTTCAATACAAAAAAGGCACTGAAAACAGGGTGACAGATGCCCTATCTAGAAGATTGGAAGAGGAACCTACACTATATGTTATTTCTACAGTAGAACCTACATAGATAAAGGAGATAGAAATATCTTATGAGCATGACCCTGCAACCTTGCAACTCATAACTGAGCTGATTACAAACCCTGGGGCCAAATCTAAGTTTACATTGACTCAAGGAGTCATAAGATTTGAAATACAAGATTTATGTAGGGAGAGGGGTTGATTTAAGGCTTAAAATCTTTAAAGCCTTACACATGTCACCTTTGGGAGGCCATTCTGGCCAGCAGGGCACTTATAAGAGGATCAATTCTATATTCTATTAGCCCAATATAAAGACGCACATAACCAAATAGGTTTTTGAATGTGACACTTGTCAAAGAATCAAAACAGAAAATGTATACCTTTCAGGACTTCTACAGGCCTTACATATTCCTGTGTTACCATGGGAAGATATAGCCATGGATTTCATTGAAGTTCTACCATTTTCAAACCAAAAGAATGCTATTCTTGTGGTTGTTGACAGACTGAACAAATATGATCACTTACTAGCCTTAAAACATCTCTACACAGCCCATGATGTGGCTAATATCTTCTTGAATAAGGCCTACAAGTTGCATGGCATGCCTAAGACAATTGTATGAGACAGAGACCCCATTTTCACCAGCCATTTCTGTAAACAGCTATTCAGGGCTATGGGTACCAAACTTACCATGTCTATAACCTACTACCCTCAAACAGACGGCCAGACTGAAAGACTCAACAGGTGCCTAGAATCTTATCTCCGATCCATGGTATTCTCCAAACCCAAACAATGGTTTAAGTGGCTGCCATTAGCAAAATGGTGGTATAATACCAACCACCATAGCTCACTGAAAATTACTCCCTTTCAGGCACTCTATGGGTTCATTCCTCCACAGATACCATTGGGATCTCTCCCTCACTCAATACACTCATAGGTTGGGGCATGCATAGCCCAACGACAACAGATGTTACAACAACTTAAATAAAACTTGGTACAAGCTTAGGCTCGTCTGAAGTTCTACGCATACCAAAATAGGACTGACAGATCCCTAAATGAAGGTGACTTGGTCTATCTTAAACTACAGCCCTACAAGCAGGCATCAGTGGCTATACATAAGAATCTTAAACTTTGTGTTAGATATAACGGGCTTTACACAGTACTAAAGAAAGTGGGTTCAGTAGCTTACCGGCTAGATCTGCCACTAGGGTCTCAGATCCACCATGTATTCCACATCTCCCAGTTGAAGCGCTGAGTTGGACCCATGATTATGCCTAGCCGGCAACCTCCAGTATGTAACGACGATGGGCGCGTCTTAGTGCAACCATTAGCAATCTTGAAAAGAAGGATGATGAAGTTCAATAATGTGGCGACAGTAAAGGTTTTCGTGCAATGGACTAACCTCAACGCAGATGAAGCTACGTGAAAGGACTGGGGTTACATCAAAGGCCAGCTCCCGGAGTTTTCAGCTCAGTTCCGACCTTGAGGACAAGGTCGATTTGAACGATGTGGTATTATTAGGTTTGGAAAGGTAGATGTCTGAAGGAGAGGTATATGAGAGATTAGGGGTTATTCAGTATAACACGTGGCAAAATCAAGGAAAACCGATTAAAAGATTGAAGTGCCAGATGCGTTTAATCCAACAGTGGAGATAGTTAGGGTAGTTAGTGGGCTATTATAACAAAAGAGACTTGGGCCAACCAATTCAGATTTTGGACCGGTAATTTCCCTCCATCTTCTTTCAATTCTGTCCAGCTCACAATCTCTCTCTCGTTCCTTCTTCTCTCTTCTTCTTACCTCACCCTAATTCTCTTCTTTCAGGTTAGGAGCTATCCATGGAGTTTCAGATTGTTTTGTATTTCAATTTGTAATTTCCAATTGTAACTAAGTTGAAGAATAATAAATACATTTGGCCGTTGAAAATTCTCGATTCTTTTTAGTTCTTGCATTTTAATTCTATAAGATCATTACAGGATTCAATATCATGCTTTTGGGTGGAGAGAGGCGACAGAGAATAGAGAAAGAGGAGAGGAGAAAAAAAAAAGTATAACTGAATCCCTTAATTTAAGGCACTAATAATGGATTGTATAAGGAGAGAGGCGGTAGAGAATAGGGAAAGAGGAAAGGAGAGAAAAAAGAAAAGGGCATAACTGAATCCCCTAATTTAAGACACTAATAATGGAGTATATATAAATTGTAAGAAAAACATAGTTAGATCGGATAATATATAAATCTAGGACATTTTAATAAATAAATTTTAAATATTGTATAGGAAAGAAAATCCCTAAAATAAAACATCCAACGAATGACTAACATGGAGTTGTAATTAAGTAGTACTAATTGGCCGTCCATACTGATGCATTGCAATAATTTCCTATTATTTTTGTTGTAAATAGTACTGATTGTAAGGATTCTTTTCGATTTCTCGGAGGAATCTAAAAAGAAATACTATAATTTTTTTTTCTCATGCTAAAGATTGTCCAATTTGTTTAAGTTCACATCTAGCCATTGCGTTCTTAGTACTCCATACATTGGGTGAAGTACACAAATAACCCTCAAAAGTGGATGATGGTTTTGAATTTTTGTTTTTGCTTGTTTTATGGGCAGAACTTTTAGTTTAATAAGTGTTACCTCTTGCTAGGACCGTCTAAGGGTAAGGTAATATCGGTATCAGTACCGGACCGTACCGCTCCAGCGGGTGGGTAGGGGTAAGGGATTTGGGGTGAAGGGTAAGAGTAATGGTAGGTACCTGAAACAATAGCGTTAGTACCGGTACCGTTAGTACCCTTAAGGTACCATGTTGGTACAACACTAGTACCAGACCAATACCAAAAAAAAAATTAATTTAAAATTATCCCTAAGTACTCCTAAGTATCGGTACCGCACCCTTAGGACTAGTAGGGGTACTGGTAGGGACCAAAAAAATACCTTTAACCCATACCCTTAAATACCCTTAAGTAAAGTACCCTTAAGGAACCCTCCCCTTAACCCGTAACCCTTAATGTCCTAGTACCCTCCCCTTAGACAGCCTTACTTCTTGCTAGCCTCATGAGCAACACTTTCAACTTTTGATTTTAAATCTAGTCATAGGACAAGCGGGGGTCAAAATTAAAGACTACCTAAAAAAGTATCATATTTCTGCAATTTCTTGCCGTATATTAAACTTGATAATCCAAAATTCAAAGCCACGACTTTAATATAAACCTCAACCTCCCCAATATTATAGTATCTATTATTACGATCACAAAGGGGTTTGTGGCTCTGTCCTAAACAACTATCGAAAGGGCATAGGCCAGAGCTCATCAAGAATTATAGTTTATGTATAGCTTACGTCATGCCTGGTAGTTGTTAACAGTTTATATTTATTCTTTCTGGGACGCTTGTCAACTTGGTAAAATTGTTTAATTTTTTATAGAATAATTCAGTTACATCTGGTGAATTAAATATATACTTGTTCCTGTGAATAAAGCATTAAATAATCCTTTGTTATTTGCTTCTCATGGATTTGTCTGAGCTAATTAGCAGTTCAGATAATGGCAGAGCCAAGGGATTCAAGAAAATGCAGAAATGTCACACACGATTTAAACTTACTACATAATAAATTAAGTCTTGAACCATCTCTTCCAATACATTAGAAATTTTCTTTATGTTAAGAGAATTCAACAATTTATAACTATGTAAAAAAATATTATTTTTACCCTATTTGTATAGTAGAATTGTCTGGCTTTAGAAGATTCAATTGAACCCCCTTCAAAACATGTGGCTCGGCCAGAGAGTCCACACTTCTCCGTGTATTTATTCTCTGTGTTTGGTATATAGTAGTACCATAGCTTTTATCTTTATTCTTCAATTTTAAACATTAATTTGGTTGGAATACATGAACTTGTCATATGCTGTCTAGTATTAATATTGTACATAACAGAAGAAGCGGCTTAACACTTGCCCAGAAAACAGAGAAGGAATCCAGTGTCCATTTCAAGAAGCACATCTTTCCTTTTCTTTCTCTCCCAAAAGTTCCGTAGTTGAAGCTTATTTTTCCCTTCAGGCCCTTTTTTTCTTAATTTGCAGAAGCCTGTGAGAAAAGCTCCTCTCTGCTTGAATGGTTGATACCATCAAAACTTTGATGCCCACTCTTCTTTACTTCTCGTTTCTTCTCTCCTTTGGCTTTGTTAAAGAAGCCTGGTATTATCGTTGCATTGGCCTTGACCCTTGAGATAGCATTTTCATATAAATTTAATCCATCTGTCTGCTTCTTTGGAAATCCAAAAGATTCAGGAGGACTAATTAAAAACTTAAAGAGAGAGAGAGAGAGAGAGAGAGAGAGAGAGAGAGAGAGAGAGAGGAGAGATGGAGAGAAAGTTGATGAAATCATTTTCTGAGAAAATATGCATGCAGAAGGCAATAAAGAAAGGGGAGGAGAATAAGAAGATGAAGAAGAATAGTACTAGGTTGTTGATTACAGTGAATGTGTTGGGAAGTGCTGGTCCGTTAAGGTTTGTAATGAGTGAGAATGATAAGGTTGCTGTGGTTGTTGACACTGCTCTGAAACTATATGCTCGTGAGGGCCGACTTCCAATTCTGAGTTCAGACGCCAAACATTTCTTTCTTTACCCTGCTTGTGCTGGACTTGATGGTACAGTACATCCTCTTGAATCTTTTTCTTTTATATATATATAAAAAAAAAATGCCTTTACCTTATTACTCTACACAATTCTCCTATTGCCTTTTCTTTTAGTGATATATTTTGCTTAATCATTTATTGAGTTGAAGTGGAGTCTCTTGTTCCAATTAAATTACAGTTGTTCGAGCTAAAGCTTTATGAAATTCTACTAGAACTCCTAATCTTTTAATTGCATCAATACAATAATATAGTTGCCTGGGCATTGTGGCTTTATACACCCCAAAAAAGTACTACTGTAATAGGAGAATTGTGTACAGTAATAATGAATAGGCACCCAAACAGAAAAATTACAACCTTTAATCTACCCGTTGATGGTGTAGGTTGTTGGTTTTTTAAAAGATGGGACAACAAAACTATTTAAGGTATTGATTGAAAACGTTTCTCAATAATTTTATTAAACATAACAAGGCTTTAAATAGCCAATTAGGAACAAAAAATCCACATAATTTGAAAATCAAAAAAACCCAAAATATTTCAACAAACATACAAATTTAAAATTGAAATTCATCCTAAAACTAAGCAACTTATTATGCTAAAAAAGTTACTGCAGTAACCGGAAGCAATAAAATTTCAACAAAGGTGCTCATCCACTCAAGCCTCACTCCTCAGAATGAATCTTATTGTGCTATTAGATTTTTTTGTGTGCTTACTTAGGATATGTTCAATTCTTGTACCACATTTCAGGGCATTGATAACCTTGTTTTTTCTGAACTGATTTTTCAGCTCTAGGACCATTGGACTCGATAGGATCACTAGGAGTGAGAAATTTCATCCTTTGCAAGAAGCAAAAACAACCATTGATGACAGAAGGAAGGGCAAATGAGATTGCTCAGAATGGGAAAAAGGGTTGGAAGGCTTGGCTGACTAAGTCATTTAGCTTCAAGATTCATTCCCATTGAATCACTTTCTTGTGCCTTAGTTAATTGTGGTTTCGTCAAGCCTATAAGTGTTGTGTACTAATAAATGATGTGTATATATGCATCAATTCCTGGTATTGACTGATTTACTCTTAACGTGCCATATGTGGTTGGATTAGTCATGCCAACGGATTCCAGATACCAAGATGGTTAAAAAATATATGTAAGTAACTCAAGTATTTATGAGAATCAACTTCTATGGAACAAAAGTTCATTCCTAAGATCAGACGTAGACCCAGGATTTTAACACTGACAGCAGTACAATATTATGTTCAATCAGTGACTCCTAAATGCTTTTAGTGTTCGGCATACTAAGTAATTTAAATTAATTATTTTCAAAGAATATACATATACATATACATATTAAAATTTCTGTCGATTTTATGGGATCGGTGACCCCTCAATATTACGCATAGGTCCGCCTCTTCCTAAGATATCCTAAAAATCAAAGCATATTCAAGAAGAGTGATGTGGGGATGGTGGGAAATCATAGAGGTTTCCAGCGATTTTGCTTGAGCAATAATGGTTAATATATCTTTCTAAAAGCAAAGCCTTCAAATCTGTGTACTAGCTACTTTATTGGTTGTTCCGAGTGTACTATAACCATCCCTCTATAAAGGTAAAATATATAGTTTGCCTCCGGAACTTAAAGACCAAACCCCTTGACACATTTTTTGAGCACGAATAACTTTTTACACGCACAACCTTTTCAAAAGTATCTAATACATACCTTTTTTGTCGACGTGGCTAGTGCATGTTTTACCAATAAAATAAGGTGCGTGAACAATAAAAAAATTATTTTCTTTCTTTATTTTATTTTTTTTCCCGTTTTCCTAAACTAATTCACTGGCTATCCTCCGCCAAATCCAACACCCACCTTCCACCGTTGTTTCTCCACAATTTCTCCACCATCCTAACCAACACCCACCTGCCAAGAACCACCATACCTTCACCATTGAAGCCTGTCTCTTTTCTCTCTTTTTTTTTCTTCTCAAAACCCAGTTGTTAGTAGCAGCCATGGAAGCCATTATCTTCTGTATACAAAATAGAGTAGTTTGAGTTAAACCCAGAAGCTAAGATCTTCAAGTCATGCCATTTCTGGTTTCCATCTTTGAGTTTAAACAAATATTATGCAGTTTGATGTTCTTGAGTTATAATAAAGACTTGTAATTTCTTCATTTAAAAGTGTTTTGGTGGATCTAGTTATGTCAGGTTTTATGTTATGTGGGTTTTTTCTTTTATTTTGTGAGTTTGAGTTGAATTCTCATTCTCTGTAAAAATAAAAAATAAAAATTACTCCTTATTTAAGTTTTTAGAAGTGCAGATGACATACTTCAATGGTGTGATTTTTTTTCTATTTCTAAGTGTTGTCCTCTTTAAAATAGACTGTATTTGTTGAATTCTTGTTACTAGCTATTGCTCATGTTTTTAAAGTAAACAAAGGGGAGGGATTGGAGCCTTACAGGAGTAAGCCGATGGGAAGGGGGCTTGGAGAAGAGGGTAGACGGTGGAGGAGGAGGAAGTTGATGAGGGAGGGGAGGCTTGGGGAAGATTTTTTTTNAATTAAGGTTTATTTTAAGTATATATTTATTTATTATTGAGTTATGACATGTGTTGCATTTTGATTGGTAGGTGGATGCAATTTCCAAACAAAAAACTGGTCAATAAAAATAGTGTGTCTTAGATACACTTTGAAAAAGTTGAGTGTGTAAAAAATTATCCGTGCTAAATTCCGGGACAAACTATGTATTTTGCCCTCTATAAACACTTTCTGGATGTTTAAAGCTATATATATATAACTGTTACTGTCAAATCTTTGCATCTTTTCGTTAGAAAGAAAGAAAAAGAAAAAGTAGTCTCAACCCCTTAAAAAGTTGGGACTTCTTTGACCAGTGTATAATATCCATTTTATTTTACTAGTCTAAGGGTATATATATGCCGTATTTTTTGTAAGCGGTGTCGTATTTATATAAATAATAATAATAAATAAATAAGTATTATCTAATATCATTTTCCCACAAGTTGAAAGCCTTGGCCAATGATTTAGTTGAATATTATTGCAAAGGGAGGTGTAGGTTCGATTCTTCTTAGCCTCAAATTTGTAACAAAAATGTTTGCTCAAAGATGTTCGAAAAATAGCACCCAGGGTGGCTTACCAACATGTAATATAGGTGTAAGGAGTCATCTCGACGTCTTATGATCGATCGAGGTCACACACCAAAAGAGCTTCATGAGAATTAGCTGGACTACGATTGAAGATCAAGAAGTGTATTCTGTTGGAAAATATGCTAAATGGCGTAGAAATGCTTCACAAGTATTTTAACGTGCTTGTAACGATGTGGAAGATGATCCGGAGTCAATTTGGACTCAAGAGCATCCAAAAATGGAGTTCACGAAGGGTTTGGTAGAGTGCAGCACTACAGCGGGCGCTGCAACGGGAGACTGTGAGGCTACAAGTAGAGGCTAATAGTGACGAGCGATGCAGTCGACCAAAGTTGGGCGCTGCAGCATACAGTGTGACGACTAGGGGCATATGCAGAACTTTTTTAAGCGATGTTGTATTTATATATATTATAATAAAGTATTATCTAAAATCAGCTTCCCACAAGTTGAAAGCCTCGGTCAATGGTTTAGTTGAATATTATTGTAAAGGGAGGTGTATGTTCGATTTTCCTTAGTCTCAAAATTTTAACAAAAATGCTCGCTCAAAGTTGTTCGAAAAATAGAAGGCCTACGTTCTTACCTACAACCTTTACAAACTCAAATATAATCTTGACCAATGAACCAAGAAGTACTCTTCACCAAAAAGCGATGTTATTATCATATATTGCTTTATTTTTACAAAATACTAATATAAACATTTAATATTTTATTCCGACGAAACGGTTTCGGATAACACCGCTTCCACCCATGTGCATCCGCCCATGGGTATAGATAAGAGCTACTAAAATGATTTACTTTATAAAGATTTTGGACTTCCACTCGTCGCTTTAAAGTTTTGCGTTGAATGTTATTTGATGAGTTTTTCAAAATAATTTATGAATGTTTCCTAATGTTGATTCATTCCATGTAATCCCATATTAGTTTTCTATGCCAGTCCCTTATTTTAATGTTCTATAGTCTAAAGTTAAGGTCATGAAGTTAAATAAACTTAAATCAGGGGCGGATCTATGTTGTGGAGTCCGGGTGGTATGCATACCACCCGGTCGCTCCGATAAAATTTCATGTATCCACATGTATTTTTACTAACTAGTTTTACGGTACGCGCATTGCGCGTGTAACCTATCTAAATGAGTATAAAACTTTTAAAAAATTATATAAATATTATTTTTAAATTAAAATAAATGTGTAAATTTATTTCAACAAAGAATATTGATTTTGTATAGCTAATTCAATGAGAAATATCAATTTATACATTTCGCTCACTATGTTTTCTTTTAACTACTACCTTAAATTACTTATGAATAGATGTATATAATTTATTTTAATTAATTTCAATATATAAATTTATCTTATATATGTTTTACTTTTCAAGTATTGTAATTGATTTTTAATTTAATATGTGTATAAATTTACAATATGTATTCAACTAATTCAAATAATTAACTTAAAGTACATTATAGTACTTATTACTTCAAATTAAAAATACTACTATTATTTTCAAAACGCAAGCATGTCGTATTAAAATTATTTATATATATTTCCATACACGACCTAGTATGTTTAAGTTTGGTTTACATATTATTAGTAATCTTTAATTTTTGAAGACCTAAAATTAGATCTAAAATTTTATTAGTAGATTTCTAACACGTTTATACACATTTTATCTAATGCACGTGTGAAAATGTCATAATTACTTTACATAATTTATTTAAGGAAAGGATTTATAAGTAAATTTTTATTTGGTGTTAAATTCCTAAAATTGAGTTTCTATATATGTAGTCCGAATAAGGCAAGATTTATTGACCAAAATTTAGTTGATTTTTAAGTCCTAAATATTAGTAGAATAATTAAATTATAATTATAACCAATATAAAATCTATATTAAAGGGTAAAAAAGGCGAATGACATTTCACTAAGGGTCTTTGTGCTAGGATATGCGCGATGCGCGTGTACCTTCTATCGATCCGTATAAAATTATGAAAAATATAAGCCCTTAACAATAAGATTTTTAAAAATATAAGATCTTGAATATGACAAATATTGAGCCTACTTAGTAACAAAAAATAGTGGATGTTCTATCTAAGCACGACAACAACCAAGATAATTGAAAGTTTAGTGTTATTATGTATCTCGTTCTTTTATATTAATTTTGTATCAAAATAGTCATCTAGGTACCATATATTCTAAGACAAGTTAACTACAAAGAGAAGAAAAATTAATGATAGATAAATTATGTAGTTAAATCATAAAATTTATCCCAAATCCTACTTAGTGACAGAATCAGCTATATATTATAAAAAATTCTATTAGCTACAAGATGAATTTACTAGCTAATTCTTGTTTTGTAAAGTTATATTATGTAGCAAAATTTCTCAGTAATAATATTAGTTCTTGTTTGACCAAAAAATAAAAGTCCTTTTCCATCTATTTTATTTTAACATATGCATTGAGGTAATTTAGGTACTTTTGTAAATTAAATTATGATAATTAGTTTCTTATCACAAATTAATGATTACTATTTTTTTCAACAATAATTACTATTTCAAAACTTAATGCCATAGTAAATTTTAACGAATTTAACAACCAAGCTTCTAATAAAATACTTATGATTTAAATTTTAAAAACAACAAATAAATCATATGAAAAGAAAAATTGGTCTTTTTGATTAAACAAGGACAAAGAAAAAAAATACCACATAAAACGTGAAGTTTCCTTGTTGGAAACCAACAAAAATCTTTCCTCCTACCTTTTTTATATTCTTTTATGTCTTAATATATTGTATCCTTATTAGGAGAAATGTCAAACACTAAATTATATTAGATTTTATTTATTTATTTAGAACTTCTAAATATAAGGAAAGTTTTTTGAGTTTATAATTTTATCCAATGTAAACTTTTTTTTTAAAGGGTAAAAAAGGTGAACGACATTTCGCTAAGGACCTTCGTGCTTTTAATATAGTATAGATATTTCACCTGAAAAAGATAGATATGTAAATAATGGCACCCCAAGTAATGTAAAAATAGCACGGTACAGCCAGTTTTCGGACTGGTCATTCAAAAATAGTCAGTGTTTACCAAGTCAATGAAAAATAGCCACTATTTTGTTGCAACAGAGACCGGTCCAGCATAATGAACTGGAGTTCGGTGCACATGTGTATGAACTCCAACATATTATGCTGGACCGGTATACTTTGCTGGCTCCAGTATAATATACTGGAGACTGGAGCACCGGTGCTCCAAACTCCAGTATATTATGCTGGACCGGTATACTTGCTGGAACTCCAGTATATTATGCTGGAGTTCTAGTGTACTTATGCTAGAACTCCATCATATTATGCTGGAGTTCCAACACACTTATCCTGGAACTCCAGTATAATATGTTGGAGTTCAAGTATACTTATGCTGGAACTCCAGCATAATATACTGACGTATTTTTCGGGTTTTGAACAGTATTATCGCTCAGATTTATCTTTACATGAAAAGTGGCTAAATTTTGATTACTTTTAAAATTGGACTATTTTTGAACGACCAGTTGTAAATCTGACTATTTTTTAATTTAACCCAAGCAGATTGGTTAAAGGTGCCATGGTCATAGTACCTCTTGCCAGGCCCAATACTCAATATCTATCCTCATTTGCTCATATTGTAGAACCAATTTTACTTTACTGTGTTAACACTTTCCAATTTACCTTTTTTTTTTTCTTCTCTTTTTCTTAATTTCTTTTACCTTCATTTTTGTATTTTCTCTCTATGTACAATTTCATTTTTATTAGTTATTTAGATTAAAAAAGTTTTTACTTTACTGTGTTAACACTTTCCAGTTTACTTTTATTTTTCTTTTCTTTTTTTTTTAATTTCTTTTATCTTCATTTTTGTATTTTCTCTCTATGTACAATTCCATTTTTATTAGTTATTTAGATTAGAAAAGTATATTTCCTTGCATTATTTTGTTCTAGATCTCAAATATTTTTTTAAAAATATGCATTTAATCATTTTTCTTTTTTATTTAGTTAGTATTTTTATTTTTTCCTTGAAATGGCCAAATATATTCAGTTTGGTTATCATGCGTATCGAACCGAATAAAGTTAATTTAAAATAGAGCGAACCGATCAAATGCATGTATATCCAAATTCAACCTCCTTGACTACTCATTACTGTAAATTAAATGCAGTGACACCCGCAACCATCAAATCCTGGATCCACCTCTAACTTAAATACCAGTGCCGAATCATGATGGAGTGAAGTACTTGACCGATGGAGCGTACTGAAGCATTGTAAATAGGGATATTGTTACACAGATGGCCCGTCAGTTTTGTTAGGTGTTGTCCTAATTTTCTTACCATATTTGGTTTTCGTTTTTCTTGAAGGAAAGAACAACATATTTATCATAATTGAGTTTTTCTTTTCCTAGAAGAAAAATATAATTTTTTCATATTTGGATAGTCATTTTTTCTTGTAGGAAAAAGTTTGGAGTTTTATAAATTGAAGATCCGTCCTTCTCATTCAACAGCATTCACATTGTAGCCATATGGGGTTTGAGAGTCGTGTTTAGGGGAAAATTTTTACGGGACAAGTGTTAGTGTGTCACTTGTGTTTGCTCTTCGTGAGGTTGTTCTCTCTATATTTTTGTACCCTCTTTTTATATAGTGGATTGTTCATCTCCGCCTGTGGACGTAGGTTAATTGACCGAACCACGTTATATATTTGTATCTCTTTTGGTAGATTTCTCCTTTGTTGTCGTCGCTCAAGGTTTGCTTTACTAGATTCCCCATGACACCTGATTTTTCGGTCCTAACAAGTGGTATCAGAGCGAGGTTTAAGACAGGTTCATATTGGCGGGTTCAGTTCTAGTCGCAACCTATTAGATGGTAATCGTGATTTTTGTATGAGAAATTTGATCGGAGTGCTACACACGTTGAGATAAATTTTATGGTGGAGATTTGGAGATGCGACCTGTTAAAGGTTATGTGATGAAGGTGGATCAAGTTTATTTTGTCAGAAAATTCAGGCTAAGGGGGAGAATTGTTAGGTGTTATCCTGATTTTCTTGTTGTTACGGAATGAAAGCGGATATGAGCAAGATGGTATGTTTAAATGGGAGCAATTATAATATTTGGAGAAGCAAGATGAAAGACTTGTTATTCGTGAAGAAAATGCATCTACCCGTTTTTGCAGCTTATAAACCCGAGAGTATATCAGATGAAGATTGGGATTTCGAGCATCAACTAGTATGTGGACATATACGACAATGGGTTGGAGATAATATTCGCAACCATATTGTGAATGAGACACATAAGAGATCATTATGGGAAAAGTTAGAGACTCTTTATGCTTCAAAAACTGGGAACAACAAGTTGTTCCTGCTAAAGCAATTGATGACCTTTAAATACAAGGAAGACAGCCCTATCCTTGATCACATAAATGCTTTTCAGGGCGTCCTTGATCAGCTGTCTGGAATGGGAGTTAATTTTGATGATGAGATACAAGGACTTTGACTTCATAATACTCTGCCTGACTCTTGGGAAACTCTTCGTGTTTCTTTGACAAATTCAACTCCTGGAGGTAAGGTGACCATGGAATATGCCAAAAGTGGTGTATTGAACGAGGAAGTAAGGAGACAATCTCAAGGTTCGTCCTCACAAGCAGATATCTTGGTTGCAGAAGACCGGGGGCGAGATAGAACAAGAGGCTCAAGGAATAGAGGTAAAAGTAGAAGTAAGTCAAGGTTCAAATACTATAATATTACATGCAACCATTATGGCAAGAAAGGACAACCTTGGAGAATTATTCTATTCTCATTGATAGAAATCTTTCAAAGACTTAAGCACATAAGAGTGGTTTTTGAGAGAGCTTTCATTAAGAGAGAAGAGAGAAGAAAAGTATTTGTTTTTGCTGCAGATTTTTATTCGAACCAACCAACTTTAAATCATGTTTTCTGATTCGTTAACCGTTGGATCGGGCTGAAACTTTGACCGAGTGTTTTTAATATCTTCGTATTTGATTCGAACAGTGAAGATCGGATATAGAGGTCGAAGCATCTGATTTCGAGCCTCGAATAGCAGCTTTATTTTTGTGGATTCTCCTCTTTCTTCAATTGATTAGTTGTTGCTTTTGTTGCTATTGTTGCTCCGTGTTTGGCACTTGTTGTGTAGCCAATTTGGAGAACTTTTGTAACCCTCTTATTGTTATAGTGGATCTTTTTGGATCTTTATGATCCTGTGGTTTTTACCTTCGATTTGAAAGGTTTTCCACGTTAAAATTTGGTGTTCTTTATCTTCTTTATTTTCGGGTTTGCCTCTTCCGTAACATAACAATGGTATCAGAGCGAGGTTCAAGACAGGTTCATATTGGCGGGTTCAGTTCTAGTCGCAACCTATTTGACGGTAATCATGGTTTTTGTATGAGAAATTTGGGTGAAAATTTGGAGATGCGACCTGTTGAAAGTTATGTGATGAAGGTGGATCAAGTTTATTTTGTTAGAAAATTCAAGCAAAGGGGGAGAATTATTAGGTGTTGTCCTAATTTTCTTACCATAATTAGTTTTCGTATCTCTTGAATAAAATGACAACATATTTATCATAATTGGGTTTTTCTTTTCCTAGAAGAAAAGTATAATTTTTCCATATTTGGCTAGTCCTTTTTCTTATAGGAAAAGCTTTGGGGTTCTATAAATTGAAGATCCATCCTTCTCATTCAACAACATCCACAATGTAGCCATATGGGGTTTGAGAGTTGTGTTTAGGGGGAAGAACTTTACGGGACAAATGTTAGTGTGTCACTTGTGTTTGCCTCTTCGTGAGGTTGTTCTCTCAATATTTTTGTACTCTCTTTTTATATAGTGGATTGTTCATCTCCGCCCGTGGATGTAGCTTAATTGACTGAACCACGTTATATGTTTGTATCTCTTTTGGTAGATTTCTCCTTTGTTGTCGTTGTTCAAAGTTTGTTTTACTAGATTCCGCATGACACCTAATTTTTCGGTCCCAACAAGATTCACTATTCACTTTTTCTAGCCGGTATATATAGATTATATATTGATTATACATGTATTATACATGAATTAGACATATATTATACATCCGTTGCCTATTTTTAATTTAAAAAAATTAAATGGGCGGCTATTTAGGTAAATTATTCTAGCAAATATTCCCATTACTTATGTTTTGGTTGACTTACACAGCACTGAATGTAAGGATTTATTTCAATTTTTAAGAGGAATCTGAAAAGGAAATTTTTTATTTATCCTTGCCAATAATGTCCCATTGTTTAAGTTTTGATGGACGACTAACCTATACATGGATTCTTAGGAGTTAGTACTCTACAAAATTAATAAAGAAACCATGTTTGCTTATGTAACTTATTTTTATTGAATCCATTATGGTTTAAATAAATTGTAGTTGTGTGTTTCACTTATTCTTTATTTATTCTACCAGAGCATTAAACTTGAGAATTCAAGAATCAAACCAACGCGATTCGTGCGACTCGTTATATGTATAACATACTTCATGCCAGGTATTTGTTAAGTATACAAATTCTTTACTTAAAGTTACGGTGTATTTAACTTGAATACTTTATATGTACATAATAGAAGAAGAGGCATTGGATTTGCCCAAAAAACAGAGCAAGAATCCAGAGTCACATTTCAAGAAGCATAGCCTTCCCTTTTTTCGTCCTCTGCCAAAAGGTTGCGTAGTTGACGTTAACTTTTCCAACTATTCCCTATTTCACATCTCCACGCCTTGTTTTCTTCATTTGCAGAAGCCTGAGCAAGAGCACCTGTCCTCGCGGCTTGAATGGTTGATATCATCAAAACTTTGATGCCCGCTGTTCTTTACTTGTCGTTTTGCCTCTCCTTTGGCTCTGTTAAAGAAGCCTGGTACTATCGCTGTATTGGCCTTGACCCTTGAGATCAATTTTCATAGAAACTTGTCTATCTCCTTTGGCTCAATAACTGCAGCTCTGTAGAAAATCACCTAGCTGCTTCTTGAAAATCTAAAAACTTCTTAACTACTATATAACAAGAAAGGAGAGATGGAGAAGAAGCCAATAAAGAATACTCCTACTAGGTTCTTGATCACGGTCAATGTCTTGGGAAGTGCTGGGCCGTTAAGATTTGTAGTGAGTGAGAATGATAAGGTTGCTGGTGTTGTTGAAATTGCCCTGAAACAATATGCTCGTGAGGGCCGACTTCCAGTTCTGGGCTTTCATGTCAATGATTTCTTCTTTTACCCAGCCAGTGCTGGACTTGATGGTACACAATATAGTATATCTTAATCTTTTGTTTTTCTTTTCTTTTTTTTAATCCCTACCTCTATCCCACTGTGGAGTAAACACTGCAGAAGTACATATATATTGGTGACTTTACTTAGGCATTAATAACGTTTTTTTCTCAACTGATTTTTCAGCTCTAGGACCATTGGAGTCGATAGGATCAGTAGGAGTGAGGAATTTCATCCTCTGTAAGAAGCAAAAACAGCCACTGATGACAGAAGGAAGGGCAAATGGGATTGCTCAGAATGGGAAAAAGGGCTGGAAGGCATGGCTGACTAAGTCATTTAGCTTCAAGATTCATTCCCATTGAATCACTTTCCTGTGTCTTTGTTAATTGTGATTTCTTCAAGCACTTGTATGTTGCGATGAGTATGATAATTACATTAATAAATGATGTAAACATGCATCAATTCCTTATTTAACTCAAATGATTATGAGAATCAACATCCATGGCTACTATTGTAATGAAACATTTTCTTTTTTCTCGGCCGTATCTGTAGACAGAGTTGAATCCCAACTAAGTTTGGTCGCGATCTTTTATATGCACATTTTGCATGTGATTGTTGGAAAATAAGGTGAAAAACATTGACAATAACTTTTTATATATATTGCCAACAATATAATATATACACAGTTAGAACTGAAAGAAGCCGAAGAACAGGATATATCATTTAGTCAAAGCAGATTTAGAAGAAATCTGGGATGGTGGGAACTCATAGAGGTCTCCATTAACGATTTTGCTTGAGGAATAAAGTTTAAAATCTATCTTAAAGCAGAGGCTTCAAAAGAAAGCGTGAATTTGGAGCTGATGATTTATTCGAAAGGGAACACAATTAATAGGTCTTAGCATCGTTTAGTTAGTGGTCTTTTTAGCATCATAACAGAATATAATCTCCAAGCTTCAATCTCTATCTGCATATATTACTTCTTTATCTGAGTGTATCAAAACCATCCCTACATGAAATACTTTCTGGTTGTTTAAATCTATATAGAGTTAGAGGTTCTGGATATATACTCTTTTTTAATCTGCCTTTCTTAATTTTCTTCTTTCTTAGGCTACGTTACTGGCACTGCTCCACCTTTTCATTTGATAAAAGAAAAGGAAAAAGTAGTCTCAACCCCTAAAGAAGTATTCTTTGACCACGTTTACAATATGATCGACCATTTTATATTACATTTCAAAATGCATTCCCTCTTTATTGGCGATTTAGCGATGAATGAGGCAACTGTGGAACGTATACACACAAATAGCTATTCCATGGGTATTGCATCAAATACCTTCACTCTTCATAACCAGAAATTTGGTTTCTAATCATATACAGAAATAAAGAGTAAACCTTGCTTCCTTTTTCTTTTCGTTTGTCTAATTCTTCTGAATATCTATTAAAGCCCATGGGCCAACTTGTATGAGCCCAGTTAGCCTCTCTGAAAGCTGGGCAAGCCTAATTGGTCCAGAATAAGAGATGGAATAAGGCCTTCAAATTGTGGAAAATTTGTAAATGATCTATAACATAAATTAGATTTTCTAGATGATGGCAACTAGAAACTTTGACAATTTTTGGTCGATGTACACATGTGACACTTTAGCGAAGTTCGACGATAATAACTTTCTTGGTAGGATAAAATTGGTCGGTAACTAAATGGCTGCAGTAATTTCGAATAGAATATTATGACCTGGTGTGGACGCAATAGCTTTCTATCCATTATTTTTTTCATATATATTTTTTAAAGGTTTAACTGATTTTTATTTTTTTGGTAACTTCAGATACATACACTTTTATCTTCTTCTTCGTTGCTTTATTCTTTTTCTTTGTATTCATGTCACATGTGTAGGCATCTACATTTTATTGGATTTAAATTCATAAAATTATTTAGACTATATTTTTAAATTCAAGACATATTAGTTCAAATAAAGCTATTAGGCTAATATAATTGGATTAATTATAAGTCCAATATATATGGATTAAATAAGTAATTTTTAATCCATTGGGCTAGTCTATTTAGTTGGGCTACAGATGATGAGCCCACTTCATTAGGCCCAATATGTCATTTTCCTAGAGGCCCAGTTGGGTGTCACGTGTCAAATGATGTGGCACGCCAAGTCAAACGGAAGAGCCAATAGGATAGTGCCATGTGTCAGAATGACAAGGCATGCCAAGTCAAATTAAAAGGCCAATGAAATCGCGCCACATGTTCAAGTGACATGTTCTGGCCAATCAAATGTGGCCTTGTCACTCTTCAATCTGATTGGTCGGAAAAAGTTTGTTCTTATCATAACTCTTCCCTCCCACAACTATAAATAGAGGTTTTCATAACTCAAAAAAGACACCAGAAGTTATAACAAGAAGACGCAAGGAAGCTCGTAGATCAAAGGCCACAATTCTCTGCAAACTGCAAGTTTCAAGCATTCAAGCACTTCAACACAAATTTCAAGTATTCAAGATCAAGAACGAAGTCAAATTAAATACAAGGAGTTCAAGATCAAGGCTACTTGTTCGTGATACAATTCGTGGCAACAATCAAAGTGTTCGTGACGGATAAATCAAATTCAAATTCAAGATCAAGCTCAAAGGCCCTTGAATTTATATTGGAAAAGTAGAATCATAGGAATCATAGAGATTGTAACACTCATATTACTTGAAATTAAATACTACGATTGTTGCAATATTTTTCAGTCTTGATTTTATTTTCTCGATACAATTTATTATCTACAAATTCTGGCACACCCAGTGGGATAATCTCTACCTCTCATCTCAACATTTGAATCACCAAAGTTCAGGAACATCGAAATGGCTTCAAAAGAAATCAACTCCAGTTCAACTTCCACCAAGGCTGCTAATTTCAGGTTCTATATTGATGTGGAAAACATCCTCGATGTTAGCTTTGGAAGTTTTGTACCAGTTACGAGGAGCAAAACAAGCTCGTTAGGACAATAAGCACCCCAAGTGCCGCCCGCATCTACCCTTATTTGCGAATCTTCATCCTTAAAAGGGGCAAGGTCTTCCACAAATGCACCCGAAGGAGGAAGCGATGTTGCTAAAAAGATCAAGAAAACTCTTGCTCTGCTTGACCTCTCCGGATCTAAGCACTCTACTATGAAGGAAGATGATGATGCTTCAAGTGATGGATCCTCCCCACTTACACCACATAACATGATCCAATCAAGGATCAATCTGTGTGACAATCCATGCTACTCTCCATCGTCCACAACAATCATGCAAGACATGATGACAAACACTTCATCTGTGGAGGAGCAGTTGGCAAACTTGACGGAAGCAATCACTGGCTTGACCAAGTGCATGCAAAATCAAAATGATAGAATCAACAAGCTAATAGATAGGGTGAGAATCTTGATGGAAGAAGAATCTACCCACGCACCTGGCAAGCTCCCAAAAGTTACAAAGAGTGATTCTCCCCCAAGACAAGTAGCATCCGCTAAGGCGATCCGTGTCTCATCTGAAGGGATGATTCCAATCGATCAATTGAAGGAGTTTATTGAAGGAACTATTAAAAATAAGTATGAAGTTGCTGTCAAGTCCTCCCTTGCATATGCGAAGCCGTACACTGCAAGGGTCGATATGTTGAAGATGCTTGTTGGTTATCAACCTCCAAAGTTTCAATAGTTTGATGGTAAAGGTAATCTAAAGCAACATGTGGCGCACTTTGTTGAGACGTGCAATAATGCTGGGACTTATGGAGATTACCTCGTCAAGTAGTTTGTTCGCTCACTAAAAGGAAATGCTTTTGACTGGTACATAGACCTCGAGGATGGATCTATTGATAGCTGGGATCAACTAGAGCAAGAGTTCCTCAATCGTTTTTATAGCACGAGACATACTGTGAGTATGATAGAACTCACAAATACTCATCAACAAATAACCAGTTATCGACTTTATCAGTCGTTGGAGGAATACAAGCCTCAACTCCAAAAAGAGGCTTAGTGAAGCTTCTGGCATAGAAATGTGCATCCAAGGCATGCATTGGGGACTTCGCTACATCTTGCAAGGTATCAAGCCTAGCATGTTTGAAGAACTTGCGACTCGCGCCCACGACATGGAGTTAAGCATAGCCTCCGCTGGAAACGAAAGGTTACCTATCTATGAGCCTCGCAAAGGGAGCGGCAAGCAAGAAGTCAAGATATGGAGCAAGTTGGTATTGAGGTCAGAAAACAAAGAAGCCATGAATGTCAACACATCACATGTGAAGTTCATAATGAAGGTGAGCAAGAAGCATAATACGAAATCCACTTCTTTTCAAGATAAACCAAGTAGGAAGTTGACTCTAAAATAAATGCAAGAGAAGGAATACCCATTTCTATACTCTGATGTGCCAGCAATTTTTGAAGAACTCCTCGAGTTAAATCTCATTGAGCTTCCAGAGATGAAGCGACCAAATGAAGCTGGGAAAATAAATGACCAAAATTACTGCAAATATCACCGACTTGTAAGCCACCCTCTGGAGAAGTGTTTTGTCTTCAAGGACAAAGTTATGGACTTGGCCCATGAAAAGAAGATCATGCTTGAAGATAAGAAAGCAAGCACAAACCAATTCTCTATCACCTTTGGCTCATTCAGTCTAGATGAGTTACGCAGTTTAAAAGAAATCAAAGATGAAGAATTACTGGAGAACAACAAAGTTAAAGACGATCAACCTGATGATAATGAAGGTTGGATGTTGGTGACTCGTCGTAGGCGCCACAAAAGGAGCCCACGAAAAGAATCAATAGAACAACCAATAAGGAAGATGATGGTAAAAAGACCAATGAAACAGAATCCAGTTAGGTGTTTTAAGAAAGCAAAAGTGGAGATGCACCACCCTCAAAAGCCACGACATCCAGTGACCTTGGAGGATTTCTTGCCATGTTGGTTCCGCATGAAGATTTCCCATGATGATATTGAGGCCTCTTGTTGCAATGCTGATAAGGGGAAGAAAAGAGTGATAACATATCATTGGCACCATCTTCAGAAAATCCCATCGAGTCTATTCCTCAAGAAGTTAACGCCTGGGAGAAAAAAGTTATGTTTACAAATGACGACCTTCTACTAGGTGACACTTTTCATAACCGCCCGTTGTACCTGGTTAACTATATGCGTGATAAAAGGGTAAATCAAATTTTGGTTGATGGAGGATCCTCAGTGAACATATTGCAAATTTGCACTGTGAAAGAACTTAGTATTCCCATGAACGAACTCTCTGAAAGTCGTGTGATGATCCAAGGATTCAACCAAGGGGGGCAAAGTGCCATAGGTGCGATCAGGATAGGAATCACCATTGAAGATATGGAATCAAGTACATGGCTGCATATGATCGATGCAAAGACTTCATACAATGTCTTCCTTGGAAGGCCTTGGATACATGAGAATAAAGTGGTTCCATCTACCTGCCATCAAAGTTTGAAATACTATGAGGGTGAAGTCGAGAATAAGAT